ACAAACATCAAGTTTTGGAAAAAAAAAAAAAAAAAAAAAAAAAAAAACCTGTCATTCAAATTAAAATGTCAAAATAATTGATGAATCAGTGAATTTATGACCAATGCTTGCATAAAACATAACACCTCTGTTAAACAAGTACTCACAACTGTGTAGTGTAATGCTTAGACTGGTATTAAAAACATACAAATTTGGCTATCATATTTAAAATTCTGCATTAGATTCTTTGTTTCTTGTGCAATTTGAAAAGATAAATGCACAAGGGATGCACATATTGCAATATAGTCTCAAAAAAAAAATAGAGAGATCAAGCTTTATACAATTGTCAAAATCAAGTTTGTCTAGTCTAAAGGGTGCTGCTTAAACCAGTAGAATAAAAATCTAGGCCCCGTTTGGCCCCCATTTTTTGAAAATGAAAATGGGCAAAGTAGTGTTTTTTTTTTTTTTTTTTAAATGAGTGGTTCAAAAGAAAAAGAAGGAAAAGATTTCAATTTACGTGTAATATTATTTTATAGAAGATTATGTGGTTGAAAATAGGAGAGAGAAAAAAATGAAATGTAATTTAATGAGATTCAAATATGGGCCTAATGAGTTAGGTTCTACATAACAGTTTTGACGAGCCATTAGTTAGAACCAATAAATCAGAAGTCTTATTGATTATCAATGGCATTTACAAAACATTTTCACGGACAAGTCATTTCAATCAACTTTCAGAAGGATCGTATCTAAATGGCAAATTGTAATAACTATATTATGTATTACATATCTCTTGCACCTTTTGTTGGAGGTTACATATTTTAACTCCCTACTTTCATAGGATGATAATATAAAGCACATATCATTTGCAGCCTTGATTAGCTAATTTTCAGGATGGTCATTGGTTAACACTTCTTTTTATTAATAATAACTTTCAAATAGCAATATAACCAAATATCACGGTAACCATTCACCTTCTACTTACCCCAACATCCTGTCAAATCAAGCACCAAATAAAAAGGACAGAAATGAGATTTGGGGTTGGGACATGGGTATTTATTTTGAAGAAAGTTCTCAAAAGAAACAAAAATCAAATGGACTAAGTAAGCCAACGAGAAAGAGAGAAACTCTATACATGGTTCTTCCATCATCAAAAACAATATATTGGGAAAAAAATTAAATGGTAAATACTGAAAAAGAATAAGAGAAGAAAAGGCCTAAGATGCAGAATGCGAGAGAGATAGAATAGAGAAAGAGAGGACAAAGAAGAATTGGAAATTAAGGAAAATTCTCAAAATATCACTTAACATCGAATTAATGGTCTTCATTATTCAAAATGACTAGTCCTATCTGTATTTAAAATCCCTCGTACAAATGGGAGGTTCTCTAAAGAACAAAAACGGAAATCTACAGGAGCTAAACTACAAAATATTTCCAATGGCAGCGATGTTTATCAATGTTGACCAACATTCTGATACTTTTAACACATAGATAATGATATCAATGGGCAGAAGCATGGGACTCAGGAATGGAGGAATGGCCTAAAAAAAACAAATGTAGGCAACATGATGGACCAAATGTCCCTTGATAAGGAAACATATCTTCTATAATGAAACATGACTTATATGATGGTACCGACTTCAAGAACTTTTGACCATTCTGAAAGGCCTATTGGATGAATGACCATTAATCAATAAATAGAAGAATAAACTAACAGATATGTTTCACACAACTTTGATCGCCTTTCTTTCAGATAAATGGAGTATATTTACAGAGTTCTGGGAGATCAACAGGGAGCTGATGGCATTTATAGAATTGTTGGTTCATTATATGATCTGAAAAGTAGATGTGCTCCCTCTCCTTTCATTTTTTGTGATTATCAAGCAAAGAAATGAATGAGTGGCTAGTCTTCCACATAGTACAAAATTATCATCTCATTTAATACCTTCCAATCTCCCATGATTCTAACATTTTAACATAATCCAATCATGCTTTACTAAACTATAAAGCCTTCAGACACCTTAATATAGTACCTAACATGTGTATGTGTGTGTACACAACAAATTTGATAAGAGATACAGTTATAATGCAGGTTTCATCTAGTTGAGTTCAATCAATTCTTAATTACACGAAAATGGGAGAGGTAATCCAAGCCCACCATTTTCTACAGTTGATTGCCTAGCCAACATAAAAAATCTCTCTTAGAGAGTCTAATTACTTAAAAGCATGCAAATGGGTTAGGAATAATTGCAAATAAGAACGAGGCATTTACTCAATAATCAATTAAACAAAAAAGTGCAAGACACATTTACTTTAGAAATTAACATCCTCCACATTTATCTAATCAACAAGCAATTAAAACAGAATTTGGAAAACAAGAGGTATAAATTAACCTCTTCGGTGCTTGAATCTTGAGTTTTAGACACTTCGACCACTGGGGGCGGATAAATTTTGTACTTCTTAAGAATATCGACAACAACCCAATGCTTCCGCTTGCTCAGTGGCCTCGTAGGTTCCAACTTTACCTGCAATCACCATTAAAATCACTACTGTCATTTTATTTCATACCCCCTTCAAATAACAAGGTGAAACCAATAGCACATAAAAAAAAATTACACACACACACACATATAGAAAGAGATAGTACGGACGCGGTCGCCGAGGTTGCATTGGTTTTGCTCGTCATGGGCCATGAATTTGGAGGTGCGCGTAACATAGCGGTTGTAGACTTTGTGGTAGAAGAGACGATCAACCGCCACCACCACTGATTTCTGCATCTTATTGCTTATCACCATGCCCACCACCGGCTTCATTTTTGGCTATTCAAATCTCTGGTTAATCCCTATCCACCCTCAAAAGTCTTCATCCCTGGTTAAACCCTAGCTCTTCCATTTACGACGTCGTAACCACTTCTCATTTGGAAGTAAATTGTGTGATCGGTCCTCAATGATTGGTTTTACTTTGTACTTTGATATCTAATGTTTTATCTTTAATGTTTCACTACTCAATCATCTTTTTTGTCGACAATTATGTCCTTTTGAAATTTGAATTAAATCAAACCATAATAATAATAATAATAATAATAATAATAATTCAACTAAAATTATACCACTAGACCCCGAACCTTTATTTTTAGCAGCTAAGTCCCCAGATTACCAAAGTCTAAATTCAACTTACGAATGTAGTTTTCTCAATCCACAACAAAAATAGTTGATTTGAGATATTTATGATTTTAAGAATTGTGTTTTTATTGAAAACTTGAAGTATATATATGATTAAAATAATATTAAAAAATACAATATTATGCCGAGACTTGCAAGGCTCGAAGTTTGAGCTTCATGCTTTGCCCTATGCTTTTAGGTTTGTTCGAGTCCTTTTATTGCAAGAATAAATTTTGTAATCGTATTTTTTTCAAAAATATGTGATTAAAAAGTAGAAAAAAATTGAGTTCATGTATAAAAATATTTCGTTGTGAAAATGTGTGATCGAAAATTAATTTTAAAAAATAAAATTGTAAAGAATAAAGCTTAAAGAGGATCATAGACCGTTGGTGAAAACACGTAACTTAGGAATAAAAAAGTTTGTTTTACTATATCAGAAACTTAGCTATGAAGTTATCTCAGTCAGACATGCGCTCTATCTTGTCCGATCTTCAAAAAATTTCCTCGAGAAAAACGTCTCCTTCATAAATAGATTTATATTTTGAACAAATATAGTGGATTTATTTGGATTAGTAAAACTGAAATTGATCTAAATTTTTTGTTCCAATTCGATTGGGTTCAATTGTGTATAATTTTGTTAGGAGTTGATGGAAGTTACGAGTCTACAGAGCCATTTCATCTCCTGGTTAGTTTGAACTTTGCATCTATATAGTTTTGTGTGTATATATGTGTGGATGGGGTGTGATATTAATTATAAACACAATAAGTTGTTTACTTTTATTAGAATTGGAATTTTTGGCGGATTAAATAGGTGAGTCACTCAATTGAGTTTTGCTTTTCTAGACAAATTATGATTTTTAATCCATAATTTTGTGCTTCAAAACACTTTCTAGGATTTTATTTCTTTTTAATGGAATGCCTACATTTTTTTATTTTTGTTTATTTTGACCTTTTTTATATATTGGACTTGTATAAATTTTGGTTTCAGAGAAATTTGATTTTCTTTTAAATAATAAAATTATTGTAGTTTTCAATATAATATAAGAATAATTCTATTTGTACACCCAAAAGTATATCGAATTGTTTACCCTCCTCACATGCACATGGGATCTACGTAAATAAAAAAAAAATCAAAATGTGGTACTCACCCCCTATTGTGAGCAGTCAGTAAAGGATTAGGTAAAAAAATCATGTAGCATGGTCCATTAAATAATTACGAATGTAAATTATTGTGTAATTTTGTGAAATATTTAGTCTTGTCCGAAAGATTTAAAATAACAAAAAAAAAAATTTGATTTATGTGATATCTAAAGCAAAGTGATCTTCTAGCAAAGCACTTGTTGGACTTGTATAGTCGTATTACATTATCCACTCTTCTTTTTGTGTTTCATCCCACCTTTTCCCTGTGATACCCAATCTTATGATATGTGATTAGATGTGAAAATAGTGTGCTAACCATTTTCTAATAAAATAAGTATCTTTATTCTGGAAATTGCCATTTGTTTTCTCTCTATAAACAATTGTGGGTTTCTTTGGGTTGATGCCGGTGACAGTATTGTTGGCCTGCATAATCTTAACATGTTTTTGTGCCTTTAGTTATCATTGCATTAATTACCTTTGCGGTGTATTTGGTGTTCCATTAATAACTCTTTTTGAATATATAATTAGTCGTCCGAGGAATTCCTCTTATATGATGCAAAATGGATTTTGTTCTATTTTTTATTAGAGATTTCTCTATAAAAAATACAAATCGGTACTTAGCTCATTTCGCCACTGGTTACTGTCCCCCTCTCTGTCTTCTGCTCCCTTTATCTCAACTAGAGTTTCCACCAAAAGATGAAAGGATTGTTTCTATAAATCCGTCTCCTGATGCATCAATCTCAGGCTTCATGAAATGCTAAGGATCAACGTGCAACCTTGGAAACACGTGTAGCTATTACCAATACGTACCCTTTTAGAGCTTATACTCCTCAAGAACAAGGTTTTTCATGATGGGGTTTAGTTTAATTGATGCTAATGTGTAAAAGCATTCTTACATATGGTGCAATCTTCTCTTAAATTTGTTATTCAAAGCAATGTATCCCCCATGTTTCATTTAGAAAAATTCTCTAAGTTGAATTGCTGGATTACTAGGCATATGATGACCAAAATAATCAATTAATTTAGAAGGCAATGAATTTAGATTTGCATCCGATATCTTATTATATACAGTCTACAAAAACCTATTGCACCATATCTATACGTGTTAATACCTTCAAGTAAATTCTATATTTCAGCTTCGCCTTTTTCAAGATTAGCAGGAGGAGAATGTGTAGAGGATGCCCGACTAGTATTCGCACATATTCGTTGTGCATATAATTCATACATTTCGCATAAAAGTTTGTTCTAAATTTCCATAAGTGGTAGGCGTGTTAAAAGTTAAAACATTTAAAATTTAATCAATTACATATTCAGTACCTGATAAATTGTATCATGGTCCATGATACATGCCACAGGAAATAACATAGGTAATTCTTCCTAATATTTCCTAAGTTTTAATTCCATAAAAAATATAATATCACTAAAATTCGGGTCATTTTTGTATTTATCAAAGGTCATTGCAATGATATAAAAACGTTCAAATACCATACAACTAATGAGATAATACACTCCAGATAAAAGATTGATAGAGTTATAAAAACTTTTCAAACATTTTTTTAATTTTAAAAGTTATCATCCAATCATATTAATTCAAAATAGTACTATCATCGTTTCTATATGCTTACTGTTATAAAATTTAGTTATTAAATATTCATATCCTTCGCGTGATTTCAATAATAAGTAAATCGAGTTTCATCTCTATCCTACATCACTAACAAATGTTTTCATATCAGTCATTCCAAATTCAGCACAAAATTTCTCGAAGACTTGTTTTCTACTGGGTGAAATCTTAATATATATTAGTCAGTGTTCTAAATGGCGTATTGCGCGGCGATGCGTAGATACAAACTATGGACTATGTGAGCTTAGGCGAGGTTTAGGCGTAAAAATGTGTTTTCTTATTTTAATATTATTTTAATTTTTAATACATCAAAAAATTATTTAATAATTAAAAATAATACATACTAAACATTTAAAACAGATTTATAGGAACTTTATACATTTTTCAAAATTTACAACAAAAAGATAAGTTTCAAATTTAAATACAAAATAGTAAATAAATAGCATAGGAATTTAAATCTTATCTAACTCTTTATTGGACTCCAATTCAATATCCTCTTCTTCATCTAATTCGTCCTCCGTGTCTTCCGATACAAAATCCTCTTCGTCAAGCTCCTTTATTTCATTTTGAGTATTTCTAGTACCTCCCGAAGGTTGTAAAATATCATTTTCTAGCTCATCATCACAACCCTCTACAATCCAAAATTGTGCATTAGTTGCATCGCTTGCTAATAGAGTCTCTATTTTGTCCTTCCTCCTCTTTTTGTTTGCCAATTTTGTATCAAATTGGACATAAACAAGATTGTTCATCCTAGTAGTGTCAAGTCTATTCCGTTTCTTCGTGTGTATCTACCAAAGCAAAAACAAAAACAAACAAAAAAACAAAGAAGAAGAAGAAGAAGAAGAAGAAGAAGAAGAAGTACTCATTAGTGAGTCAAATCAAAATGTAACAACCTAATTAATAATTTAATACTTAACCCTTCAAAAGAATTCCAGTTTCTTTCACTACCAGATTAACTAGTAGTCAAATCAAGTATCCTTTTTGTCATGGTCTTCAAATTGGGTGTTCTATTCCCATAAAAATCCCACCAAGTCACTAATAAATATAAATGAAAGAGACAAACATGTTATTTAATATATATATATATATATATATAGACACACACACACACACACTCTCTCTCTCTCTCTCACACACACAATCATATATAATTAACTATTGATACGAGAGAAAGAGTAATATATTAACTTACCCAAAATGTAATTTTCGTCATTGTTCTCACATGAACTTATTGCAAGCTTCCTTCCAAATGAACCTTCCTTTTGAACGTATCTTTGCAACTCAATATTTATTACATGATGTTGCATTTGATCACTAGGAAAGAATTTCTCAACACAAGCAATCAAATTATTTATCATGAATGAATCATCTTTGATACACGGATTCTTGAAGAAATAGAATGGATTCAAAAAATAAGCCGTTGTATGAAGTGGACTATCAAGGTGACCTTTGCTTTTAGCATCAATAATGTCCAAGATTGGCCTATAATCACACTCCCTCTTCGATGTCTTTGCAATGTCATCCTTTGCCTTTAGTAGCTCTCCATAAATAAAGCCCATTGAAGGTTTTTCTTCTCCATCAACAAGTCTAAGAACTATCACCAGTGGAGTGAATACCTTCAAGTACAAGTCTACCATGTTCCAAAAATCATTCGAAACAATAATATCAAATGTCTCTTTTCCCTTTTTAGACTTAGACCATTTTGTGTTATCCCATTCATTGCCAGTCGCCATACTTCTCAACTCTTGTTTTTTATCAAGCAAGCTTTGCAATGTTAAGAACGAGAATGCAAATCTAGTGACTTCCGACCTAACTATCTCTTTTTTTGTGAACTTCCTCATCAATGCCAAAGTCTTGTGATGTGCATAAATAAAAATAGTAAATGATTTTTCCTTGTTAATCACTCCCTTAAAGCTGGGAAGTTTAGAGATTCGTTCAAGCATAAGGTTTA